GGTCTGGGCTGGGGATTCGAACCCACCACCTTAGGTGTACGTGGCTGGCACCTTAGCCGGTTGAGCTATAGGCGCCGAGCCCCCTCTCTGAGTCTTGAAGGTCATAGCCAAGTCCCTGAGACAGGACTGATGTCCCCACACCCTGTCTGCCCTAGTCTACTGCAGGCCCCCGTGCTTCTAGAATTACAGGGTTTGATGTGACTTCAGTGGTCTTGTTTGAGAAGACAAGTCACATCAATCTTTCCAACTTCATATGAAACATTTTAGTAAACAGTAACCCTGAAAATAAAAAAAAAAAAAATCATGTGGGATCTAGTGTCACTGGTCTGTAAATGATAAATGGACCAATAATTCTGATGAGCAGGATTAAGAAGAGAGTGATAAAGGAACCAAGTATTTGGTTCATTAAAAAAAGTCGGTAAAATACTTTGAACTATATTACTTTATACTGATGTATTTGGTTGCTTTAGGCAAAATAAAATAAATTTCTTTAAAAACTAAAAACTACTGGTCATCCTAGACCACAGCTGGTTGTTCTAACTGCATCCAAAGGCTAAAGAGGGACCCCTGTGACCCACACTTGAGTCTCGGGGGGACACAAGCCACCTTATCCATCCACCCTGGGCACTTCCTTTATTCTGGTCAAATGGAGTACATGTGTTATCTTCAAAGTGAATAATATTTTGATGCAAAGGCATAAATAAAGAGGAGGGTCAAAGAATAACTTTTACAACAGACCAGCAGAAGTTTGGATTTCCCAGAGAGCTCTGGGCTTAAGAGGGGAGAACCACATGCTGTTTTCTTTACCTTTCCTCTTTCTCAGAACCCAATCTGGGCCCAGCTGACACTTTTTCTTTGCCCTGATCTTACTGGGGCCGGGGAGCAAGACCAAACTTAAGAGTGGCTGCCCACCTCTGGCCTGAGCATGGGGGACTCTGAGATACAGAGAAACCCAGGCAAATGGCAGGTGTTTGGACACTCAGTGCAGGGTCCCCTCCACCTACCTGCCCCTCTGACACCTGCTCACTGCCGTTTGACTCTCCCTCTGCTCAGATAGGCTCTGGCCTTAGGAACACAGCCACCAGCCAGTTGGGTGGGAGCTGACCCTGATGGGATAGCCTCACTTTTCTGTGTGTGAGACTCCCAAGTTCAGGCTTCCCCTCCCCTCTCTCCTGACAGAGGTTTGCTATGGAGTGGGGGGGTCACGACGGCTGGGCTGCCCAGTGAGGAGAGCGCTGCAGACCATGCTGTGAATACTGTTCCTCCCCTGCCCCGAGATGGCCTGGTGTGCACTGGGAGGCTGGTCAGCCTTCTTGGCTACCACGTGGCCTTAGCAGCCAGACTTACCGGGAACTGCTCCTGGGGAGGACAGAGTGACGTTAAGATGGAAGGTCAACAGTGACAATGGAAACCAAATGCTGCGCAAAGCACCATCAGAGCAATGCCCATGCGTGTTAAGGCAGAGCATGTTTCCTCACCTGTGGCAGGTGCAACTGCAGGCCCTCACTGGGGATGGGCTGGCGGGACGGTGTTTGGTCCAAGTGCAAATTAAAAATGGTTGCCAAGGCAGACTGTGCAGCCCGGGCCTTGGCAAGTTTCTTGTTCCTCCCTGAGCCCTCAAAGAACTGACCGTCCACCACCACAGACATGACGAAGCTCTTGGCGTGGCTCTCCCCACTCTCAGAGAGGAAGTCATATTTCAGCCCTGGGCGCAGCTCGTTCAAGATCATCACGGGGTTCTTCCCACTCGGGGGTGGGAATGGTGGCATGACAGGGAGAGGGGGCTGGGCGAGGTTGGCAGGCACCGGGGATGCCGACAGGCTGAGGTCCCCGCTGGAGCTGAAGGAGTCGTCCCCATTGGAGCCCACGTAGAAGGGTGGCTCTGACTTGTCTGGGGTCTCGAAGCCATTGAACAGCGTGTCAGGGAAGTCGGCCTGGTCGGACGTGAAGTCCGTGTTGGCAGACAGGGTCCTCCCCATGGCCAGGTGGGCTTCAGAGGCGTTGGGGAACTGGACAAAGGACCGCAAGGCCTTCTCGGCAGCATGGAGTTTTGCCTTTTTCTTTGTGGGGCCAGAGCCCTCAAATACCTGCCCGTTCACTTCCACAGACATGACAAACAGAGGCGCGTGCACAGGCCCGGTCTGCGACAGCAGCGTGTACTGCAGTCCGGGCTTGACCTCATTCAGCTGCATCAGGGCATTCTTGGGGAGGACAGGCCCCGGAGCTCTCCTCCTTCTCTTCAGCCGGTACCTGGCGTGGCCATTGCTGCCCTCCTCCAGGGCCCGCTTCCTGCTGGTGCCACCGCTGCCTCCATTGGAGAGCGGGGCGCCCTCGCTAGGCCCTGGTGTGCTGCTGTCCTTGGGGGGCATGTTGTCCAGATTACGATTTTCCTTAACGTCTGTGCTGCTGGAACCTGTGGTGCCCAGAAAGAGTAACTTACAACGCCTTCGTTGCAGGATCTTGTAAATGCAAAATTTATAGATTCCTTTATCTCTCTTTGTAACTGGTTAAGTGATGTGTGCTTTTACATTTTATTCCTTGATACAAACATGAAGAGCTATACCTTTAGCCAAAGAACTCTCAGCCTCAACTGAAAAAAGTAATTTGACATTTTATGTACTAAGGGCTAAAACCATTTCTATTTAGTGTCACCAACTGCTCTTGCATTGAAAGATGAGATCCTTAAATAATTTTTTTCTACTGAGAATATCTCAAGCACTTAGAGAAACTTTTTCAAGCTTATCAAAATGTGGGGTAAGTTAATCTACGATCTTACACTAAGAAGTATAATGAGATGATAATTTACTTAGTATATAGACAACTGTGCCTTTTATTTAGCATTTTCCCCCTTTCTCTGTCATTTACCATCATATTATCTACAGGTTTTAAACTGTAGCATCTCTCAGAAGAGGAAACATAATTTCAAAACATGCAGTCACAAGTTAATTTGTTTTTCAGGTTTAAAATATTCAACCATAATATGGAATTATTCTGTTTATTTTACAAATCAATCTTAGAAAACTGCTTATATAATTGTATAAAGTATCATGGTTTTTTAGAAATTATTTTTGGGGGACATGAATTTATTTCCACTACTCATTTACAAAATTTTCATTCTGTACAGGGACTAATTAATCTGATTTCCCAATACATTCTGTGGTAGGAAAATACATAAAAACAAGATATAAAATTGACACTGAAGGTGTACCACATCTTGACTTCATAAATATACTCTGTGGCAATTTTGTCTTGTTAAAAAACAATTATTTAATGAGTTTTCAGGATAATCTGAAAAATGTTTATCCATTTAATGAGTTTTCAGGATAATCTAAAAAATGTTTATCCATTTTTTTATCCATTTTTTAAAGGTTTAACTTAAAGATAATTTTAGAATTCTAAAAGTGTATGACAAAATAAACATGATTTTGATTTTTAAAAGGGGACTAAAACAGTGCTAATTCCTCCCTTTAAGTTCACTAAGCTTTTTATTTTTATTGTTTCCCATCAGGCTTTTTAAACAAGAAGAAATCATTCCTTTTTATCATGGTGAGTTTCTCAGGCCTCCTGCTGTAAGAAGCCTGGGAGTAACAGTCACAGGGCTGTGCAGGGTTGTGGTGTAAATGTATTTAAAGACTTCCTCCACTAGCTCCTAAAAATCCACAACAATAATTTTTTAAAAGTGTAAGCCAATTTATGAGTTCGCCAATTTGGGGGCTTTAGGGTCTGTTTCTACTAGATAATGCAAAAATAGATTCTCATTATGTTAAGCAAACTAAAAAACTGAAAATATTCACCCTTTCCACCCTTGGGAAGGTTTGATGTAACAAAGGCCCAGTCACTGGCTGCCACTTTGTGCAGTTAAAGACCTCTAATCCCAGGGCTGTTGTCACTCAGCTGAAGCAGGGAGGTCCCCTGGTGTGGACACAGCCCACGGGAGAATGGCGCTGCGCTGTGACAGAGACTGGGGTCTGTAAACCTTCCCTAGAGAGGCTCTGCCTTGCACACACCACTTCTCCCAGTTGACAAAGCGGATGGAATGAACACTAAATTTCCATTTATAACATCCTCCAACAAAAGCTCAATAGGTTACTCCTTTCGGTGCTCAAAGGGAAAAAGGGTTAAAAAAAAGCAGAGCCAAGGTGGAATTCAGAGATTAATAATTTGAGCAAGAGCATAACATACTGGATTAGTGCTTACATTTGTTGTTAAACAATAATCAACATAGAATATCAAATCATTATAAATGTATTCTGACATACATTTAATCAAAAACAAAATTTATAACCTCCGAAACAACCATATGCTTTCAGGAATAAAAATAATCAGTATTGGACTGGCAATCTTGAGATGATAAGAAAACTATACTTTCTACAACACAGATTATAAACATTCTAAATTATTCTTCACTTTAAAAGCACCAAGGTTCTGCTCACATTCCATCTATTCACAATGCTGCTATATAAAGGAAAATAAAATGTTAAAATTAGAGAAGGACATCCCACAATCACAACTCTTCCTAAACATACACTTTCTGTTTACAGATCATGCAACTGCTTTTCATAAATGCAAATGTTAATAGGATAGAACTTTTCACTGCTTTCAAAATGACAGAAAACACAGGGCTGGCAGTTCAAAGTTTTGGCATTAGAACCAGCAATGTATCTTTCCAAGAAAACCAGTGAGGAAGAGTTCTTCATTATGTTGTTAACACAGGATGAGTATAGGGCTAGTTATAAAATCTGCATGAAATAGCATTTCTTTCTACAGGTGATAACTGTAGCCAGGAACTACAGTCCACAGTTCTGAAATCACAGAGACCTCGAGATACCTTGACACACTCTTGAGGTGGAATACAAGGGACATCTGCACACAGCTTCAGGTTGAACACTCCAGGACACCTGGACAGACTGTTCAGGTGGAAGACTTGGGGACACCTGCACACACCTCCAGGTGGGATACTCGGGGACACCCGCACACAGCTTCAGGTGGGATACTTGGGGACATCTGCACACACCTCGGGATACTCGGGGACACCTGCACACAGCTTCAGGTGGGATACTCGGGACACCTGTACACACTACAGGTGAGATACTCGGGAACACCTGCACA